GGGTCAATAAGCCAAGCTGTAGGATTTGAAGCTCCAGTGCAACATGTACCCCTGTATAATAATAATACTTGTATTAGATGGTGGTCAATCAGAACTACATAAACAAAAATGAAGAAGTTCTTAAAAGTGCATTTTGACATAATGTCCTTTACAAGATATGACCATAAAATCAGCTATTATGCCACGTATGAGTCAGTGGCATTAATTTAAGCCATGCAAATTTCCTTACAAATTTTAAACTCCTTAAACGATCAATAAATATGCAGTGAACCAGGGCTTCTGGAGCACCACGGTACAGATGTCTTGTTACTAATAAACCACTTGATATGGTATAAAGAAAAGCAGATTTTTTTGCATGCATGTTAGATTTTTTTTTATTATTTTTAAAAATATGAGTAAAAAACTGGACAGCCTCTTGAGAGAACACCGTGTGAACATACCTGCTGGATGAGGTCACGCCGCCACGCTGCAGTTCCTCCTTCCGTCCATCAGGTGGCAGCAGCTGACCGCGGTTCAGTCCGCGCTGAGCGGCGCAGCGGAGCCCAAAGAAGAAGGAGGAGGAGCGCTGTCATGGCGGCCAAGGTGAACGCTTGACATTTTCTTTTCGGCAAAGTTTCCACTCTTTGAACTGTGTGTTTACAATGAGTGCATGGGTTGTGCGTTAACGTCAGCCGTCCCGTAACCGCTAATGAAAACTCGGACTGACTGTCATCTTTCAGGCTTTTATGCTGCACGAAAACAGCCTTGCTAACTGTGTTAGCTTCGCTGAATGAGCGCTGCGTTAGCTGGTAGCAATTCGAGCAGAGGTTCCACCGCTAAAGCTCTCTGAAGCATGTGTAACAGCTGTCAAATCTCTATATTTGTCATTCCTGGCTTTAATAGCCCGTATGGACGCGTTTTATGACATTATAAACACAATTAGTGTAGGTCGGTAACGTTAGCGTTAACATGAATTAGCATAACTAGTTGAAGGTAGTTCTAGTGGTCTGTTATGTCTAATACAGGTTCAGTAGTAATGGAAAGTGTTCACGCCTCTCATCAGTGCTTTAAATAGTTGAAGGTAGTCCTACTGATCCTTTACGTCTAATATAGGTTCAGTAGTAATGGAAAGTATTTACGCCTCTCATCGGTGCCATGCATGAGTCAGTGGCATTAGTTGAATGTATTTACTCCAGTGGGGTACCCACAGTTTTGAGATACTAGTACTTTCAATGTCATATATTTGAGAGCAGAATTCGCAAAGTTTTACAATTAATGTAAGTGATCAATGCAAAAACAATAGAACAGCTTTAGTAGGCTCCAGCCTGCAACAGCATCATAGTTTAGGTTGGCCTACCTGTTGACTTTACATGTACAGCTTATGCACCAGATAACAGTCACTCAAACATGTTTTCATCCATCTAGTGTTGAATTTTCAGATGATTACAGCTACATCATATATTGTTGCATGCTTTGAATTATTATAGGATTTTTGCCCGTCTTGTCTTATTTAGTTGCTATGATAAGGTTCAAACCCAACAATCAGTGTTGGAGGCCTGTTGTTCAGACTTTGTAAAGAAAACAACAGGTGGTCTAATGATAATTTCCATTGCAGTATGTTAGAGTTATATTAAATAGATTATGGACTCACTTTTTAAAAATTTCCAGCAAACTAGTTAGCAGCTTACCATGAAGACAAAGTTTGACTCCACACTACTGTTGGATCAGCTGTGGTGTTTAGCTTCTCTGCTACATGTGCTGCAGACAGCATGAGAGTATTGATCTGTACATTATGTCCCGTGAAAGAATCATGTTGACATTTATCAGACAACATATACACCCATGCCCTTGTACCTGTGACAGAACAATATTAGCAGGTCATATCGGCCAACTGATATGTCACCTTCTAAGAAATGAATATCTATGAATACCATATCGATAATCATACAGTTCAGTGGTGACGCTTGAAAGGTGGAAATTCTGTGTAATGAAGCATTGACGCTTTACTTCTGTATTTCTTCTTCCTCTTGAGGTTCACATCAGTTATCTGATTGCCACAGATAATAAAACAGCCATTAGTAGCGAGTGTTGTTGCTTTCATGTGACACATACTATGGTTACAAGTGTCCTTTATTTCTGCGATAGGTGGTGATGGTGGCCGTCCCGACGGTGCTGGGAATAGCCTCCATCCGTGTGTACACCGTGAATGAAGTGCCCGCTGATGGGCTGGTTACTCGAGAACGGGTACGTCAGCACGTCTAGTATGAGATTACCATTCACAGGATTAAGATAAGATAAGATATGCCTTTATTTATCTCACAGTGGAGAAATTCACTCATGATAACACCTCATAATAACACACTGACTCTGCCTCTGTCTCCAGCTCAACGTCTACACACCGCTACCGCAGTCACCTCAGGTTAGGTTTGTTCCAGAGAGTCCAGGTGTGATTGAGAGTGGGTTAACCACTGCCAGAGAGGGCGTGCTACCATTCGTCCGGGCTGTAAAGGTATTTACATTTTGTTTTGCGTGTCTGAAGCTGTACATCAGAATTAATTCAAGTCCACAGACACAACGTGCAGAATTAACTTTCCTATCCTCTGCAGCAGTTTCTACAGAAAAAAACAGAAAAAAAACCCTTTGTCTGGTGTAAATAAGTGTTGTATGAATGGAACAACAGCAAAAATACGTCAAAGACGCCTTATCTTGCATCTGCAGCCTTAGTTTTTTTTTTTCAAACCCAGATTTTCGTTCCTCTTGTTTGCGGTTACAGAGCACAATCCCACGTGCTGCAAGCGCTCTGTGCAGGTACGAGTTTGCAAAGTGCCAAGTTCAGGAGTATGACAGGAAACAGCGTTCACGCAGTTTACTTCACAGCTGTACAGTCTACTGCAAGTTGATTTTACACTTAGATAGTGAGGAAGCTTGGGGAAAAACACTTTGACACTGACTCAGATGTATCAGTTTCAGGATTGCCTTGATAGTTGTGTTCTTGATCGTCCTTTGTGGTGGATTCAGTTGTTTCTCTCGTGTTCCCTGCAGGGTGCCTGTGTCTCTGTGAAAAGGGGAGGTGTTAATCTCTACCACACAGGACAGGGTAAGTAAACAGTATGTACACGAAGGTCTCACTTGTTGGTCATAATCTGCATGTAAATCTTTCATCACTTATGAAGCACCGAGACGTTGTAATGGATCAAAGTCTAATAAAATCACTCTCATACTCTTTAAGGTGTTTACATAACACATTCTTAAATGTTGGACACCTTATCAAATCCCACATACTGTATCTAAACATTCACGTTAAATTCCTTATTAATATATTTATGTCAATGTATGTAAGATTATATTATAAAATAGCACCTAGTTCCTATTTTGAAAAAACAAAAAAAACACAAACAATTCCTGACATATTTCTCTGGGGGCATTAATTCATTTTAGACAGCTTTATTAATCTATGGAGTAGCAAAAGTGCCAAATTACAAAAATAAATCAATAAAAGAATAATAAAATAAAAGTGGAAATAAAAAGAAGAATAAATAAAATAAAAAATAAATAGTGTGGCAATATTAATAAAAATGAATCCATCAAAGAAAAGGTTAATAAAAGTAAAAATATAAAGACAAATAAATAAAATAATGAAAATAATTTTATATATATATATATATATATATTTTTTTTTTTAATGTATGTATTTTATTATTATTATTTTTTAATTTATTTATTCTTCTTTTATTGATTTATTTTTGTATTTTGGCACTCTCATGACTCCATATTGACCCCACTGGGGGCAATTTGTTCCAAGCAGCTTAACCACAGACTTAAACACAAAGACATGTGAACAAACACCCAAACCAGGACCCTAAATGAGAAGTCACATCTAAATGTAGAACTGATAGGTGACACTTAGAGTTGCGAAAACAGTAAGAAGACTTTTTGTGTTGGCATTTCATAGAAACTGCTGCTGGTGTCGTAAATAAAGTCACAGTGTGAGCAGTGAGGTTCACACGTTGGTTCAGAGCTGAGAAAGACTATTTGTCAGCATGTTGACTTGTGTTCTTTTCTTCCCCGTTTCCCAGATGTATTCTATTACTTGAAAGACCCTCCCCCGGGTTTTCTGCCCAGATTTGGCACCATCACCATGGCTGGCCTGCTTGGCATGTTCTTGGCACGGAAAGGTAACCTGATCCCCCTCCCTCCACACATCACACATCACACACACACCTAAGGCCTGCTGGGAACAAGGGTTTTCTCACCTGTTTGTCTACCATTAAAAAAAACAAAAAACATTTTGAAGTGTATCAACATAAAGCCAACTAGAGCTGCAACTCATAATTGATTAGTAGAATCTATTAAACCGTTTAAGGATGCGAATTTAGGCTTTGGGAAATAATGATTGACATTTTTCACCCTTTCCTGACATTTTATAGACCAAACAACCAGTTGATTAATCAAGAAAGTAGCCAAGAGATTAAATAAACAACGGTCATAATTGCTAGTTGCAGCCTTACATTCAAACATCTAATATTTACGCATACAGTCATCGTGTGAATTTCAGCGTGTCTTTTAGTCCACATGTGTTTGGCAGAACTCCAAGTGTACTGAGGTCTGACACTCAGTCCCATCAGCGGTGATCAAAGAGCGCTTCTTCCTTTCTTAGGCACCCATCTACTATTTCTCCTTTTTACCGCTGAAGACCTAGAAATAATAGATAGTTCTCTATACGCTTTTCTTTTAATCTAATTTATGTATCAGGGGGTGAATTTGAAACAGCCTATCTAGTATTAATATAAAAGGAGCTGCCGGGAGTCCCTGCCAGCGCGATAGTCCCATCTAAGCAGTGGCTCAAAAGCAGAGAATGACATTTCCTATGCAGCTGTGCGATAATGTAGCAGCTGCACATAGTAAATAAAACATCCAGTGCCACGCTGACTGTTGTTTCACCTTATTTATTTAGCAAACAAGTCGTGAACTTGAACTCGGTTTGTTGTGCATAACAGCGCCTCATTCTCACAGCCCTATATTTGATCCACACCTATTAGATGCACTTTTGACCCACTCACATCAGTCGCAGGTTAATCTGATGACCTGAATTCAGAGACCACAACCACCGATGGTACATGGGTGCCGTTGTTTAACTACAGAGGTACAAAGAGGTGCGCCACATTAGAAAAGAGTGAAGTAAAGTTTCTGTTTCAGTTTTCTCAGTCAGTGCTCTGGTTTTTTTCTTTGTCTCTCTGTCATGGTGGAGATTCATTTGGATTTCATTTAAATATTAATATTATGAACCTAAGTTCCCGTCCCTAAAAGAGTCGTCTGTTTGATATATTCATGCAGCATCTGGCCTGTGTTCAGACTCGGTTTGGAGGATAGCTGCGAAGCCCCATCGCGGGTTTACCGCGCTCACCGTGTCGCTCTGAATAAGCTATAATACTCCATGTGTACCTGACCTTGCTGAATACAACAATTCAGCTCCCAAGATTTAATCTCTGCCAGCTTATATTGATTGCTGTCCTGAAATGTAAAACTTCATTTCAGGCTCTCGTTTCAAGAGGGTAGCGGTTCCACTGGGCCTGATGAGCGCAGGAGCGTCAGTGTGCTACCCGGCCCAGACTGTGGCTGTATTTAAGGTAACGCTGACATCCTGCTAATACTCGCTAATCTCTTTAATTGTCAGAGTTTAAATGTACTATTGTCGTTTGTGTTTTCAAGGTGACAGGTAAGAAGGTGTACGCTGCAGGGAAGTGGAGCGGCGCTGCAGTGTCCTCACTGTTTACCTCCAAGGAACCTGTTGCCAAAGAGATTGTCGCTTCACAGCCACAGGTCAGCAGTCAGTCTGAGCGACTAAACAGTCGATAAAATACATGAAGTATTGATTCATGCAGCGAGTTTCGAAGTAAAAAGTACAACAAAGCTGTGTGACTAAAAGCAGAACAGTGGTTCAACCCAGATAAACGCAGCTCACTTCCCACTGAATGGTTTCCTCTCTACACATTTTACTCGCTCAGAAAAATCCCTTCTGTCTCTTAATAGGTTGCAGTCCGTTTCCTTTTCAAACGCTTTCCTGATAATTGCACGTTACTGGTGTTTACTTTTACGCTTTGTACGTGGTTGCTTGGAGGTTTCTATACTTTCGAAACAAAGCTTTGCTGAACTTACTGTAAATCACTCCACAGTGTCTGAATACCTGAAATGTAAAATCTATTAATAGAAATTGTACTTTTTTTGCATTAAAGCTAACATATTAGCCTTAATTTCTTCTAGAAAATTGTAAAGCTTTATTCTGAATATCGATTAAATGTGTTACTTCTTTCACTGACAAATACGGTTTTATTGTGATGAATGTTATAATTCAGACTGCTAATCATATCTAGCTGAACAGATTTAAATCTTTATGTTTTAGTCAGCTACGGTACCAAATCCAGAGCCTGCAGTGGCTGAGGAGGCCTCAGACCCCAGTTCCCCTACAGAGACGCCAGCAAAGAGCCCCACCATCCCAGACATCGAGGTGGAATCAGCTGAGGCTGTTCCTATCTCTGAAGAACCCGTAGTCGCTGTCACAACAGAGGAAGAGTCATCAGTAATATCCCCCGACCAGGCCCCAACAGAGACAAGCACAGGTATTACAGATATTGATCCCTGTCTTCTTGTTTCTCCGTCTCCATCTCTTTGTTTCACACACAATCACTGACGATGCTGGCGTGTTTCCTCTCTGTCCAGATCCTTTGGCAAATTCTGTGCCATCAGAGACGGAGGCCGCTCCTCCCTCTGAAGCGTCACCAGCCCCCGTTGAAAGCGCGGAAGCGTCCGATGCAAAACAAGCAGCTGAGGACGTCTCCGCTGTCCCAAGCCCGGCCGAACCCACACCGAGCTCCGAGCCGGAGACGATAGAGGTCGTTCCAGTCGAGTCTGTTTCAGCTGAACCTGCTCCAGTCGAGTCAGCTCCAGTTGAACCTGTTTCAGTCGAGTCTGTTCCAGTTGAGTCCGTTCCAGTCGAGTCCGTTCCAGTCGAATCTGTTCCAGTCGAGTCTGCTCCTTCCTTTGAAGAACCATCTGCTCCGAAGGCCTCAGACGAGCCAGCAGGTACCAAAATTATCTTAACTGTCAAAAAGCTTATGTAAACACAGAAAGTAGTTGCTCCTCTTGCATGCATCGATGCACAGTAGAAACTTAGGTTGAATCTCCTCAAATAAATCCTGTCATACTAAAGATACACCATGTAGTGCCTACATTCAGGTCAACATAGCCAGAGAGTGCAGACGTAATGCTTGGCAATCGTTCTGTCGAGGTGGAAGCACACATCAGTTTGTGTCTATGCCGCTTAACCCCATGTTGCATTTCGATTGCACCACAGTGCCAGTTGTTGAATCAGCTGAGCCCAGACCTGCTGCTGAACCTGCTGTGGAGGAGACACCAACCCCGACGCTCCCACCACCACTACCACCACTACCACTGCCACCTCTCGAACAGCCTGCCGCGGAGAACAGCAAAGGTAATGCGAACACCTGCTGCACACGCATCACTGCTCCTGTTTGGGAGTTGACATCTGCTCAATGAGCCCTCAGACGGAGGCCTCAGAAATTAGTATCGGGCACCGACTTCCTGAAGCACACAGACTCGCACACGCTGGATCTCCTCTGGGAGTCACCTGGATTCTAAGGCACCTAAACCTGTTGCGCCGTAGGTAACGGTGTTAGTCATCCAGGTGTCAGGGAAGATGAGATATGATCATCCTCTGAAGTACTGAGAAACACGCAGCTGCAGCACATTCAGTTTGATCACATTCTGATGTAAACAGATACCTTTTACAGGTTTTCGAGCAGTTGAACTCTTACGTCTCATCTTTTGGAAGGCCATCGATATATTAAACAGTTGGACAGATTGAGGAGTTATTTACTGTCCACAAACTGTTTGATGTCCAGAAAAAGCAAAAAGGCCTCTGATGTAATGCTACTAGCGAGATCCAACATGTGGAATATGCAGTTTGAGAACATTAGTCGAGCTTTTGTTACAGAAGAGAACTTTTACCTTACGATGATATTGCGTAATGCGGTTTCGTAGTGAGAAAAGGTGTCTGTTTTTCTTAGAAAATGTATTTCCTTTCTTACCTATGCTGCAGATGTTATCTATATGTACATTCTAGACAGGGTAGCTTCCAAAGAAACTACTGCATTTTTAAATTAAGTGACATGTTCAGTCATTTTATTATAGATTGATTGTTTTGTTTCCTTTTTAAATTCTCAGTTTAGAAGTTCGTTAGGGCCCATTGGAGTCGGTTGGTTGCAAGATGAGATGTGAAACTGCTCTAAAATGGACAAAAAGCCATGTTTCCATGCAATCTGCAGGCAAATTTGAAGGGGATTTTTTGCCACGTCGCAAAAAACGTTAAGAAAAAAGAGAATGCAAATTAGCCTGGTTTCCATTACCTGCTTTAGAGTCAATAAACTAGACCGAGTAGTGCCTTCAAATCCACGTATGGCTGTAATAAACTGAACAGAAGAAGCAGAGTTTGTGAACTGGAAACAGAATCAGTTGCCAAGACACCTCGAAGGAGAAAAAGAAACGGATATCAGTCGCCTTTGCCATCTGCGCGAGAGAAATAGCGAGAGGTTGCCAGGTGCTTTCTTCAATTCGGCAACTTGTAGTTATTCTTACATGTCAGCTTGTAGTGGCCATGTTTTAGTCTGGCTGCAGCCTCCAGAAACAAAAACAGCCCATCAGTTACGTCAGTGAAATGTACGCTATGCCAGAGCTTTTTCGGAAAATATGTTTCCATCTCCCGTGACGCACATTCACTCTTCTTTTTTTTAAGAAAGTCAATAACTACCTCAAGTGAACATAAAGAGCAAAGATGTAGACGTATTTGGAAATGTGTAATTAGTTGTCCATTAACTTTTTGTAATTGGATGCGTCAACATGCGTATAAAATGGAAACCCAGCTAATATCTGTGTGATGTTGTTTTGTCATATAAGACATGCATTAATATATAAACAGACTCTGACAGCGTCTCATTTATACAAAGCAATACATCAGTGTCATTTTCAGAGAGATTTTTAATCCATGCTTTCATTTAGTTTGTATAAATCACCAAAAACATTTTGCCTCATCACTATGTATCCCACCGTCCCTTTTAATATGAAGGTTAGAGGTTCTTATCAGCAATACTTACATTTCTACGTTTGATGTGCTGAAATTGGTAAACTGAGATCAAAGTTAAACAGCATGTTTGATTTATTTAAACAACTTATTAGCAGGCCGTTCTCACAGATTTCCCTTCGACTATATTTTAAAGTTGGTTCACGCTTCCGGGTCTGAAACGTGAAGTAAATACAGAAGTGTCTTAAAGCCAGCCAGCCAGCAGGGGGCGACCTCTCTAGTTGCAAAAAGAGGCGTCATTGTAGAGAAGCCGATGAGAAAATGATCCTACTTCTCACTTGATTTGGTGTCCAAGTAAACATTTTCCTGATGAATGTGTGGTATCAGTGGCTAATTGCAAGTGTCCTTCAGTACAGCATCACTGTCGATGTGTAAACTATGGTCCCATTAAGAGAAAAATAGATAAAACAGAATATGCTTTATACAAAATTCAAGGCTTCAAAGAGGCCCACAAACCAATGAGTGACGTCACACCATCCTCTAAATACAGCCTGTAGCATATCTACATATTTTCTCTACAGTTCTACCAATAATGCAGGACAATATTCAAAGGATTCTGCTGTTGTGTAATCAGATTACTTAGCAAGACCTACACACAACTAGCTCAAGACATTCAAGTAATTTCAGGTAATCCTAGGAGGAGATGTCATGTGTGGGTCTGTGTGCTGCTATGAGTCACCACCCGCCCTACTGATCTCTGTTTGTTTTTGTTTGGCTCTAAATGCATTATGTAGTCATTTAAATGTACTCTGTATAGATCAATTTGTGGTTTGCCACCTAATCTTGTTGTGCCTATGACTGAGATTGTGTTGCTTTTCTCTTGTCGTCCTCCAGAGGGCTCTGGTTTCAAGCCAGACCCTTCTCTCATGGACTTCGGCCAGTCTAACCCTGAGGATGAGGACTTGTACAGCACACGCAGCTGAGAGACCACAGGAAGAAACCTCATTCCCCACACTGCCATCTTCTATCTGATCCAAATCGACAAACACTCTGTATCATTATGCAGCGTAAATAGGCCATTTTGGAAGCAAACGCAGTTAGAAAGACTTTAATCAACATTTCCATTCTCATTTCATCTGCCCACCTCAGTTCCAGTTCCACAGAAAACATCCAAGTTCATTTGCATTGCAGCAGCGGCGCAATGAATTCCGGTACACAAAAACCGAATCGGTTTGCGTGGGACAGAAACCTGGAGAAAAAAAAATAAACGACACCCACAAGCCTTTTAAATCACAAATGGCAGATTGTGAAATTTTCTCTGTGTCATTGAACAATTCCTGGCTTTTTTTCAGCTACAGCTTCACAGTCATGAATGCATGGTGCTTTTATTTATTGTAATTTAGCCCAGTGCGTTGTAAGTTCTGCACATGTGCTGATAATGATTGCAAGATGGGACTAGCGCTGATCCGTTTTGTTACATCGGAAATTGTCTTCACTTGTTGAGTTAGGAACTCTAAATAAATCTATATTTTTCAAGAATTAATGCTGAGTCTTGTCAACTGTATGTTACTTACATAAAAGAGTTACAACACATAAAGCTTCCTTTCCAATGCTGAGAACTTCATCTTGAAATGTTTCATACGATGAGCAGCTACACAGAAGGATTCAAATTATTCAGCTTTCGGGAGACCTGCCTGGGTTTATAGGCACACATTGAGATGAATCTTTTCGGTAAATACCTCCTCGCAGAAGCCTTTAAATCGCAGCCCCCTTTTTGTGCTGAATATCATGAACGCTGTGCTGAAACTTGTTCTGAAAAATAACATCAATCACACAAAAAAGATTCCCCCTTGCTAATCCTTGTCCCAGATAAACGGCTTTTGACTGAGCTACTGCTGCAAGTCTGTTCAAAGCGTCTCACGTTTATGGCTCATATTTATCATTTATTAATCCCGCGTCACATCTGATGGCGAAAACTGATGTAAACGTACCGTACAAACTCCCACAAGTGATTGAGTGGCTCCGTAATGAGCTGTGTTAGAATTTATAGTACTCCGTGCTGTGGTATCGCTAAGTCAGTCGTGGATGTTATCGTACCATCATATTATTGAATACTGTTATTTTGTCACGTTGGCTCTATAGATGCTGATCCACAAAACTGAAATATCCTCCAGAGATCCATCTAACTTAATCTGTCGATCCCTTGACATTTCCTCTAGTGCTATCATAACATTCACATTTGGTTTCTAGGAAAATATCAAAACAGCTAGGTTGGACAGATTGCTATTAAATTTGGTGAGAACATTCATGGTCCCCAGAGGAGGAATCCTCCAGGCTTTGGTGTTCCCCGAACCCTCCCTGTCTCTCTAAAAATGTTTCACTTATTCTGTGTCTTGACATTTCCTGACGTGATTGGCACAGTTCTGTCTTTGGACCTTCACATTCTAACGACGATTCTACGATATTTCCTCCAGTTTCCAAAATGACATCGGTGTGAAGTTTGCAGTCTTGAATTTTTGGTGCCAACATTCGTGCTCCCTCAGGACAAATTGTAAGCTTTTCAGTGTTTTGTTGAATCACTGAAAACTTGACAAGCCTCGGCTCTACTTTGTTTCTTTGTTTGGCATCACTTCACTTGAAGAGGTGTGCACGAGATTGACACGACGCCGTCACAGCTCTGACAACAGCTGTCACGAACTTGAAGGAGTCTTAATGAATATTTATGACTGTTGCCATTTAGTGTCTTTTGTTCAATTATGTCATTTTTTATTTTTTTTTAAAGAAAAGTATAAAGTCGTTTGAGCTATGACAACTTGACATTTAATGTTCTCTATATGACATTTTGAGCAATAATATAACAGCAAACAACTATTTTTCTATGTAAAGATGCAGTGGGGCAATGGCATTCTTAGAAAGATAATAAAGTCACACTGCCTGTGTGTGGTTTATGATCTGAGCTTCTCTTTTCTATGTTTTGATAGCCAGTCTGGCCATTTGTGTGCATGACAGTGCATGTGAACCCATCCATGCATTATCTATACACCGCTTAATCCTCACTAGGGTTGCAGGGGGCTGGAGTCTATCCCAGCGGACTTAGGGCAAAGTCAGGGGACACCCCGGACAGGTACGGTGCATCCAGATGAAGCTGCTGGACAACATGGCTCACGTGAAGGAAAAAGACTACAGATAGAGTTCGGACAGGTAACTCTGTCTGTAGTCTTTTTCCTTCACCTGAGTCAGGTCGTCCAGCGGCTTCATCCGGATGCATTTATCCACCGTCAGCTCGAGGGTCACCTCCTTGAACACCTGACACACCGACACCTCTTCAAAGAGCAGCTTCTTGAACATGGCGATGCTGACCTGGTTGTCCAGCCCAATTTTTGCTTGAAACCTTCCAATTCCGAGGTGGGTTAGTGCGTAGCAGGTCTATCGCAGGCCTACACTGAGAGACAGACAACCAAGCACACTCACATTCACACCTGTGGACAATTTTGAATCACCAATTAACCTCCACATGTCTTTGGGCTTGTGGGAGGAAGCCGGAGAACCCGGAGAGAACCCACGCTGCATGGGGAGAACATGCAAAGATCCCGGTGCCCCCACCAGGACGCAAACCAGCGACCTTCTTGCTGCGAGGCAACGGTGCTACCAACTGCCCCACCTTGCAGCCCTGCATGTGAACCCCTCCCTTTGAAACTAAAAGTAAAAGTGCAATCCAGTGTTCAGCTGGTGCCCCCAAAACCAAATATTTTTTTGGAGTACATCTACCTAATTTATGTCCACATTTTTCTTTTATGCTCAGTACTCCCGGACTATAAGCCACTACTTCTTTTTTTTTTTTACACGCTTTGAACACTGCGGCTTAAACAGAGACCGCTGAAGTGAGGATGAAGTAGACAACAACTCATTATGGCCATTCAGTGTATTTAACGTGGACTAATGGTTGAAGTATATATATAGTGGGAAAAGTGTCCTGAATGTGTCTAGAGACAGCTTTGGAAGGTACTTCCTTAAAAAAAAACACTTTATGTATTTGGGCCTCAATAAAAAAAAAGTCATACTATAGCATGTCGTTTTTGTCAAAAAATCTCACGTTCAAGAATGTCCTGAAAACGCATCAGGATGTAGTATATAGTGGGAAAAGTGTCCTGAATGTGTTTAAAGACAGCTTAGGAAGGTNAAGTACCTCAAGTAGATCAGGAGAGACATCAAAATTAAAATCCTTCCCATTCTCTTCCTCCAGTTCCACTCTCTTGTAGAAGAGCATATAGGCACTGTGTGTCTGAAAGTCCAAACAATATTTCAGTGTCACTTTCTACCACACCTGACAATTTGAAGAAAAAAAAAAAAAAAGTCATTTGAATACAGCTTGGACAACAGCGCCTCACCTTCTCAAAGGAGAAGTCCATAAACTTGTCAGTGACAGAGTCGTAGGTTTTAGTCTGCAAGAGAAATAAAGTGAGTGAGATCAAAGATGACAGAGGACATGAAGTGGCAGGATTTTTCATCTGGCTGCAGTTTGTACCGTCATCTCTCCACCGAAGCACTCGGAGGCCAGCTGGGCAGAGTCAAAGGGCTTCACCTCGGCATCGTTGAACAGGTACCTGCAAGAATCATTCGCCTCGATTTTTATACAACTACATAAAGGAGAAACATGAATCTGAAACTTTGAAAGCTTTTAATGTCTCAGTGACTGATTTGATGAAGTGACTCTGCAGCGGGTTTCAGCTCTCACCACTTGTTGTTCTTGTAGGCGTGTGGGTTGACGATGTCCCTGATGAAGCTGTAGTAATGGCCGCCGTCTGCTGTGCCCGTGTGCACAGTGACGCCAATGAGGTCGTACTCATAGCTCTCAGTGACCTTCGTCTCACCCTCTTCCCGAAAACCTGAAGCACATGGCAGACGCCCCTCCACAACTTAATTACAATGATAGATTCACAAGACATTCACTGAAATTTATCCATGACAGAACAAAGATGCAGACTGTTGAGACGAACCCTCTTTGCGCTCTCCTTTGCCCATCAGGAAGTCCTCGGTGTACGGCGTCATGTCGAGGCGGAGGGGGAAGGAGAAGTGAGTGTTGACCTTCTCCTTCATCATGGTCACCATGTTGAAAGTGTATCTCATGGTGTTGAAGCTCAGGATGCGTGGCAGCTTCTTGAAACACGCTCTGTGTGAGGAGGAAGGTAGGACACGGTGAGGACACTGTGGTCAAGGTACATTTTATTTGCATGTATTTAGACTGTACATATTTGGATGTATTCCAACCTTTTTTCTGCGCGGACCTTCTTGCCACACTGGGAGCAGGTGTACATGTTGTCGCCCTCCAGAGTGTCCTTGATGGTCACCTCATCCAGAGACTCCTGAAGAATGACAACAACAAAAAGAAGCTTCAAAGAAAGAAATGTCCAAACTGTCACAAAAAGCAAAAATGTTCTAAATCTGTCAAAGAATGATGATGAGCATCTTCTACGTTTGTCAATCAACTGGCAAAGACCAAATCTAATTGGGTCTAGGGCTGGTCCGAATAGCAATTTCTGTTCTCCGAATATTCGGCCCCAATTAATGACGAATATCTGGAATATCTGGGGGTGCCGTGCGGTGGTGGCGGGTGGGTATTCTGCAGCTTATCAGTGTGCCTGTTGTGCTTCCAAAGATCTGCTCCCGATATAACAATTAATCTGTCTGGTCCTGTTGTTGCAGCAGAGAGGCTACAAAATACTCACATAGATGTTCTTCATATCTGCCACTTGACATCTAACCGTGTAAAACTCCTCTGCGGTCTGACTGACGTGGTCGCAGTCCTACGGGGAAGACAAAACAAAGCTTCAGTCAAACTGTCACAGTGAGAAATACATCCACATAAGACTTAGCGCCTTCAATTCAACTATTTCAGCTCAGTGCTAAATGGAGATAAGCATTCCTCAGACACACCTCCCATATTTACCATTGATTAAAATGACTTGTTTATACGTGTAATAAAAAATAGGCAAAGAGAAAAAAAGAAAAATACTGAAAAAATGTATAATAAGGAAAATACACAAAATATTTACAGCAGGTTAAAAACTGGAAAGTCGACAACTTGTGAAAATTCAAAGATAAAAATTGGAGTGTCACAGGTTCTTTGTGGTCCATCTCAGATTAAAATAATCCAATTATGTGGGGAAAAAACCCCCAAAAAACTTTATTTCTACATTCAATATTTTTCATTTTGAGTCAAAGTTGAGGCGTGTCCTCACCAGAGAGACGACGTTGTTGGTGATGACGCCTCCAAATAGAGTCTTCACTGTGTTTTTCTGTAAACGTACGACAGAAAAGGCCCATTAGTTAATAGATAAATCACATTTCTATTCCAACAGGTCACCATGATGAACTAATATTCATGCTTTTCAATGTGTAAGTCTAACAGCATTATTATTTTGTACAACTCTGCTTTGTGTGTCATTCCTTATATGTTTTATTTATGTTTTATTAATTGGAATAATGCCAAATAAAAATATATATATCTTTGTATGTTTTTCTGAATTTTGGAAGTTCATGGTAAATGGCAGAAGAGATGCAAATAACGTTCATCCTGAAAACTGTGCAGTGTTTCTGTCATAAATGTGCTCTCTGTTCTGTAATGTGAGGCACTGTATACGTGAAGGTGTGTGCATTTACCAGCTCCTGGGACATCTCCTCGATCTTGGTGATGAGGTCCGTGAAGAACTCCGTCATGTCTTTCTGCTCTCCGGTGTTAAGAGGCTGTTTGTCCATCGTGTAGGTTTTACAGAACGGCCGGGGGTTGTACGCTTTCCTCTCACTCTCCTGAACACGCGTACATATGGACAGACACATAAACAAAACAAAACAAAAAATCAGTCCATTGCACAACACTCTGTAACCTCCCCTCTCAGTCTGTGGCTCCCTGCAACAAACACATAGCTTCCCACTGAAGAAGAACAGACAAATAAGTTGATATTTTTGAGGAAAACAGCTGCTCACTTCACTGTTTTTCAACCAACATTAACCCGACAGTGTTATCAACCACCACAATAAAAGCAGTCGCGGCTACAAATGCCAAACTCACCATGAGATATGTGAACATCTTCTGCAGTTCCAGCAGTGTGGTCTTGTGTTTGATGTCCTCTGCATACTGCACAGACAGACACACGCAAGGTGAGAAACTACAGCCGATTCAAATCTGCACCTTTTCCCTGATTCGGTCTTCTTGCAGGGACTGACCTTGGCGGTGAACACAGCCTGGCGAGCCTCAGGGATCATGTAGAGCTGCTGGATGGTGGAGGCCAAGTAGCAGGTCGCTCCCAGGTTGGTCAGACCCACGAAGCGGCACTCGGCGCGGACGTCGTCGTGGGGCCAGTAGTCCCACTTATACGGGGCGTGAGAGGCTGGAGAAAAAAACAACAGAAGGAAGTTAAATGTTGAATGTGTTCTTGAAGAAAATGGCTGTTCTGATAAGCTCCATGACTGTTGTGGCAGTAATGAACCCACAGATGCTTTTTCAGACACTTTTAGTTCACTGTTGTAACTTAAAAGCGTATTTACTAGACTGTTGAGTTCATGTTTGGGCTGTCCCAGTCTCTCCAGCATTAGTCCCACCTGTGGGACAACATCTTGTAGAAACAGACTGGAGTCGCTGTAGCAAAGCTCAAATTGAGTCAGATCATTGTCCAGAGGACTACTGACACAGAGTGTAGCTTGCAGGGAAATTGAACAATAACTAGGCAGACAAAAGCACGTTTTCAAATAAATGATCAGACCTCTGCGTTAGGTGGATGTTTCCATAGCAACAACTTTATCTGCTGTTGCATAGTGGTCGCTCTGCATCTGCCAGCTACAGCTACTTGATGTTTATCTTCAACTTGTTGGCCAAAATCAATCAAACATTTAACAGCAGTTGGTTGCTTCGGGAGAGCTGGACACTGTGCTCATTACGCTCTCTGGCTCAGTGAATAAAATGCCTTCTGCACTCAATCCATTTGAATCTAATGTGAAAGTCAATGTGAAACTTGTAAAAAATTTATGAAAGTCGTGATCAGTTACTGGTTAAAATTTCACTAATTCAGAAGTATTCCATGATTTGAAATCAAAAGCACTACAATCAAAACCCTGTCTTTTTAAAAATGTGTCGTATATCGAGTAAAAAGCAAACTAAACGAGGCAGCCAGCTTCCTCACCCTGCATGTGCTGCGACATGACCCAGTTGTGGAGCAGCCGGTAGTTTTCCACTGAGCCTTTGACGGTCTCCACCAGCAGGTCGTAGGCGGCGGCCCTGGCAGCGTGGGACTTGCACTTCGGCTGAGCGCGGTCTGCCAGGCTGGGGAGGAGGAAGAGGAGGTTGTGGACGTCCCGCAGGAACTCCTGCCCCTCACGAGAGAACTTGAACGGAGGCTTGTGTTTGAGAACGCTGGTGGCGAGACGCAGGAGGCCGGTCAGGCCGTCGTCCTCAATAGTCCCGTCCTGCTGGTCCAGGATCTCACGGCTGGTGGATAGAAGAACACTGAGATCACTGAGGGCTGGGTGAACTCCCACACTGTGAGCGACATGCTCTTGAAGACAATAATGTACAGATTTTGGCCAGGAAGGACAGATGGTTTAAGAGAGGGGTGAAAGAAGCCATCTGTGTCAAACTGGAAGGACCATCCCTCAACAGAGGTGGAGGTCTGAGGCTTCACCTCTCACCTGTTCAGTCCTAAAATCTCCCACAAGAAGATGAACCCACATTTACATCTAGCCACAGAAGACCCTAACGAACCCCACTGTGGCAGGGGGAGCACTAACAACTTACATGACGAGGGGGAGGAGCAACAAACCCCCAACTGAAACTCAGGTGTTAATGGCTCCTTAAGGATATCAGTATGTGGAACTCCCAACTAGTCAGTCAGAACTGATGAAGCCTCTTGGATGAGAGGTGGAACGTCTTCAAGGAACTCAAGCAAGTCCAGTTGCTACGATTAATGTACGAGAATAACCACGACCTGGAATCTCCACAGACACGATACGCTCTACAGTTCACCTGACGACAGCCTGTTGGCACATATCATTGAATTCGACAAACAACGCAGCTAATTGAGTGTCTGCTTTTAATCAGCACAGGTACAAATTAAGACTAAAGCAGCTATAAACACTAAATGGATGAATCCTTTACACCAAAGTATCCTTGATCCTTTCAATAGAAATCAAAATTTAGTGGGAAGAAATTTGAGCTCAACAGTACATAAATAACCTTTCTGTTGTTTTATAATCTCATTTTTGACACTGGGTTACTAATGCATGGTTTTGTGGTTCTATGGGACGTTGATCACGGGGGGTATCAAGTGAAGAGACATTTCTGTAAAGGCGTAGAAACTTGTCAGGCAGTTTGATTATAAAAGCTACAATCCTGAGGAATATTAGCAGTATGAACTGTCAACAATATTTTTTTAAAAATCCCTAAAAACACGTTCAGTTTGTGAATGTCTGACCTCCTGATGCAGTCGGCGAGGTGTCGAGCGAGAGCGTCCAGGTCAAGCAGGGTGGTCTGCACCGAGCCGGCCAGCGACAGAGAGGGAGAGACCTTCTGTGAGTTCAAACAGACCAATACTAGCACCAGTTCATTACAAAATCAGAAACACACAACTAGCTACTCAATAAAGGCATCATCTTGGCTACAGGTATGATCATCAGTGCTGTAGTCGGACATTCCCACCTGGCTGGCGTCTTTAACGTGGATGTTATCGATGAGTTTGCAGAGAAGCCAGAAGTACTCCTTACAGCCCGTTCTCAACAGAGGCTCCTCTTCATAGTCCTCCACCTGTAAACACACGTTGTGATCAACCTCGTCCTTAACAGAACACATTCGATGCTCAGTGGCATCCTTAGAAACTGACGTCAGAGTTTGTTGGGACATTTGGTTTGTGGCTATTCAGGGTTTCTAACTTTTACAAGTAAATGTTCATAATGTGCAGCACCGTGTGTCAGCCATGATGGGATCCAACACAAACAGATGAACGTTGAGTGTGTCCCAGCGTCTCCAGCATTAATCTCACCGCAGAGACAAAGTGTTTTGGAAACAAACTGGATTCGATGTAGCAAAGCTCAAATTGAGTCAAGTCATGGTCGCTGACGACTACTGACACAGAGTGTAGCTTGCAGACTGGTTCTTCTTCTGCAGGTGTAACATGCATTTATTTTCTTGGAAGGTCTGCATAACTTTCAAAGATGTTGTGTGTTTGAGACTCACCCTCAGTGGTTTGAGGGCCTGTGCATCAGGCAGGAATTTGAGCAGCGTGGAGGCAGCGAGCAGCAGGAAGGATCTGTTGATGGACTCTCCTCCCTCCAAGCCAGAGAGCGAGAGCTTGTAGAGGCCGTTACACGCCTCGTGCCTCACCGCCGGCTGGAAACAACCACAACAACACACACGTCAACAAACTGGTGAAAATGTTGGGTCGACCTAAACTCTCATTCAGTGGCCTTGTTCTGATTCACACATGAAACATTTACTGCCTGTACTATGAAGCAGGATTTAGGGTTAGTGAGGTAACTTCAGGTTAAATCCTGGGTTTTCAGTCCTGCGACGGTGGTTCGCTTCTTACCGGGGTACATCACCACGGTAATTTAGCTGAACGGCGAACCAGCAGGTTATGTTGGAGGTTTAGATCACTGGGTATAAAAACACCTCCACTGGAAACCAGTTCTCTCCCGTTAAACTTCAGAATGAGCAGAAAACGAAGCAGTTCTCGACAAAATGGCATCACCGGCATTAATAGAAGACCCGCTACACATCAGAGCATGAACTGTGAGGGAACACTGAGGAGTGGGAGAGTCTTTCAGGACCGGCAGAACCCCTTAGTGCCCCCTGACCAGGATCTCTATGAGCTCCTGTCTTCATTCATTCATTTTTTTTCCTGTTGGCTACAGGCAATGTCAAAGCTTTTTCATATTTTAACATCAGCCCACAGCAGTAAACTGACTTTAGCATTAAAGCTTGTATTTGTAGGATACGTTAATGAGCCACGCCGCTTTGAATTATGTTTTTATGTTTGTTCTTAATTTGTTCCCACGTCCTTTTTACACCACCAGGGTTGCAGCTGAAAGTAAAGATACGCCACAAGTCTATACATTAGGCAGCAGATGAATTAAAGGAATCCTCAGATGTGCTTATCGGCTGATACGTGACTTCATGATGGAACAGCGATCATATCTTATTATATTATAAACTAATGAACTTGAACTTCGACCGCAATGGAGCCAAAATTCAGGGACTAAAGTGAAAATTTAATTAGAAGATCTTGAGTGTACAGAGTCAACTAAGAAAAGTGTTGCACATATAATTCCAGGTTTTTTCAAGGAACTTAAAATTTCCTTTCTCATGATTAACGGCAACAAAACTTTCTCACACCGCAGTGCAGACAAAGCTCTCTCACCAGAGCGAGGTTATGTAATTTAGTAATTATGAACATAAACCAATTTTGTTTCCAAATAAAAAAATCTGTTTTAGGTTCTCATGTGTGGATAAATAATCCCGTCCTTGGTAATGCCCATTACAGCAAAGTAATGCACGTTATAATCTATTTAAACCCCCCCTTTAGCATCACTCATCCAGAATAGCTCGTACAAAATGCATCACCAGCCTCTAAACGCCCCTCTTCCTAATGAGCTTAGCCTGAATGAATCACTGTAGACTTGAGAAGGAGCTGTGGATGAACTGACTCACCTCAGGCACCAGCAGCGTGAGTTTCTTCAGCCAGTCGTGGAGGTGGTCGCTGTCAGCCAGACTGGACTTCACCGTGGACGAGCAGTGAGCCCAGCTCACCAGCAGCCACATGGAGTAGTGAGTCACTGTAGGGAAACAAACCTCACTGTCATCTTCCACACATAAATAATGACTGACTGCTTTCTTCTTATGCACCAGGCCTCCTTTTCATCCTGGCTGCTGGCCCGTGATTAGCTTTGTGGTGACAGATGGTATTCAGAGAGTTCATCTACTAGCTTTGTCTTTCTTCCTCATCTCAGAATTTTAGCATTGTCTGAAAACATGGAACACAAAAGCCCCTAAATGTGTGGTAACTCTCACCTTCATGCCGAGACCTGTGGTCAGACTGGGCCTTAAGAACTCTGTAGGAGAAAAGCAAAACACATAAATTACCTCTGCTATATTTGGTCATTTGAAATACATTTCTTGAACTCCTGCATTGCTCACCTGTGTGCAAGGTTGTCGTAGGTGTAGGCCACGTTGATCAGACGCTGGATCAGGTTGGTGCCTTGAACAAGACTGAGGAACACCTGTAAATAACAGACACATCAGCTGCTGATCAACTCCCAAAAACCAGAGCTGACATCTAAACATTTCCTGATGCGCAGCACTCCTACAGTCAGCCGTGTGTTTTTCCAACTTTTGAAAAATGTACCTCGGTCAGTCGAGGAATGTGCAGGCCTTTCCCGTGGTCTACGGTGGATTTACGGGATTTGCCCGGCCATGCCCGTTTACGCTGGCTGTCAGCGAGGCCAGACCAGGAGAAGACGTCGTGGTAGGCCAGGTCCAGGTCTGCAGGGTCCACAGCGAACTGGCAGATCAGCTTCAGCAGGCAGGCCAGGCAGTCCAGCAGCCACTGTGGACAAGAACATTAGGAAGAGCAAAAACATCATTATTCTGTCTGTAGTTATGTTCACAAGAAACACAACTTGATGTGTACTGTGAAATGAAAACATGTCAAATCTAAAGTTAAATTATGCTTTTGGCTGTCTCACCACAGTCCAGGACTCCTGGTCTTTGGGTTCAAGAATGCCTGAGTTGAAGATCTCTAAGAGCAGCTGCAGACCTCCAGATGACACGAACTGAAAGATAAATTGAGAGAAGTATAAAATCAATCCATGCAGTTATTCACTGGGTGGGTTTCCATTCCAGCTGTGTCTGCTGTACCTTGCAGCTCCAGGTGTTCTTGCTGTTTTCTATTTGATCCTCACTGGAGTCATCGGAGTCTGGGTACAGATCGCTGTAGCTGCCCTGGAAACACACACACAGGGTTTAACCCACACGACAAACAAGGTCCAGGTAGAAATGGAATATTTATTTTTTATTTTTTAAGCTTCTCTGTATTATACCTGAAAAGGTGGTCAAAATACACATGGATGAAGATGTTGTCTGTTTTTGTGTCATAAAATTTTAAGTTAAAGGCGCTTAATTCAATCATGATTTGAGGATGTGAAACAAATTTTCTTCTGATCATGAAAGTTTATTCTTGACTATTTCGTGAGTAGGTCGTAAGAAGAGATTAAAAAGTCAAGAAAAAGAACTTGCATTGAAGTTATCCTAGGCTGTTATCATGATCTTGTTTTTTCTTATTTCGTCTTGACAAAGTAAAACAGGGACAACAACAAAAAACAAAAAGAGATAAGGGATTTTTAAAGAAAAGAAATCATGTGTCTCTCACGGTCGACTCTCTGTGGATGCGTCGATTGGGTTTTCCAAGAGCTTCGATGATCTCCAGAGCGTACAGCAGCTTGTGGGGACTTTTAATCCTCAGCAGCTCCTTCCAACACAGACCCTCTCCGTTCTACACACAGACACAAAAATAACACCTTGAGTTATTCAGCGTCTGCCGCAGTCAGTGATGCCAAGTATTTGTGAGCAATGAGAGCGATCAGCTGAGCGAGGCGACTGACCGTGTCGTCTGAGATGTTCTGGAAGGCCTGCAGCATCTTCGGACATGTAGGAAGAAGCATCAGCAGCTCCCAAACCCGGCGGGACAGATTCTCTGCATGAAGGTGAAGCTCTTCACACCGTGCACTCTGGATAAGAAACACACGAAAGCTATCGGTAAAGGTCCAAAAATAAGCTATAACAAGTTACCCTACAAAAGTAGAAGATGGAGGTGTGAAACGTTGGGATGCATGGTATTAAAACTTCTGGCCGATATCGACATCCGATATTATGCTCTCTGATATCGCTGATAACCGATATTACTGATGTCGATATTCAATTTTTGTTCACACCGAAAAACGAGGATAAGTAAGCACCGTGAGAACGTGAAAAACGTAAAGAAAACTTAGTGTACATTAGACAGCAGCTTTCTTCATGCACAGAGGGGTCAAAGGTGTTTCATTCATTTTTTCTGCTTGTTCAGCAGGTGGCTGACAACATACTCCTGTCTTCCTTACTGTACATGTCACTGACTCACATATACGATAACCTGAGGTATGATTCATTGTCACCATTGTTTCAAAACTGGCTTTAAAGAGCCATCTCTATCCTGCAGCACATTTCCAGCATTATCAGATGTAACTATGAGCTAAAAATCCATCATTAGAACAATCATTTAATTCATTTTTGTTTCATACTGATCAATAATAAATCAGTCACCAGTACACAGCCCATCCCTGCTACGTTCTGTCCATGGCTGCTCCCTACCTCTGGGCTCTCGTGAACCTTCTCAGTGTTGGGGCTGGGCGGTTTGAAACAGGCCAGCATCTCCAGCAGGTCAAACAGTGTGGTGAGGTGTGGCTCCTGGAGGAGCAGCAGCATGGGAATGTGCTCCTTCTGGGGAGGAGGCAGGCAGGAGGCAGGCAGCTGGACGCCCTCCCCCTTCCTCTCCCGTCGTGGAGCTCCCAAAGAGACAAACACCATCTGGGATCAAACAAGCAATCATGGCTCAGTGTTGAATCATCTACGTTGGACACCTTTAATCAGTTTCTGCATAGTCTGTTGCAACGTACCAGACAAGAAACAACAACTAAAAGATAACGAAGACAACTTGTATTCAGACTTCTGTAAAACTGTGCTGTATTATTTGCTAAAAAAAACAAAACACAGGGTGATGAACCAGAGAGTGACCTGCATGTCTTTAAAGCCCAGCTCATGCAGAGTCTTCTCATCGTAGTCTGTGGTCAGTTCATGGCCAGAGGAGATCATCCTGACCGGTCCCATCAAACCACCTGCAGGTCAAATGACAGATTTGTTGAACAAGCTCAAAGATTTGAGGTTGAGGTGGACCTACTAACTGTTTGATTGGCTTAGAGATGTGTGTTTGCGTACAAAGGGGCCGACCTGGGAAGTCTCCCGGCTGCCGGCCGCTCTGACCGAACTCCTGCAGCTGAGCCTGCTGGTTCATCTGCTCCTTCTGCAGGTTCTCGTACCAGTGGGTCACCTCTGCTCGCAGGTCAGCCACCTGATCGCTGGGATACATCTCAATGGTCATCTGCAAAGACACGGCAACATGTAAAATGAAGATGGATCCTCTGATGTAACAGGTAGACATTTAGATTAAGATTCTAATTCATATTTGGCTTGGGGCTGCAAGGTGTCTCAGTGGTTAGCATCGTTGCCTCGCAGCAAGAAGGTCACCGGTTCGCGTCCCGGTGAGGACACCCGGGATCTTTCTGCATGGAGTCTCCATGTTCTCCCCGTGCAGCGTGGGTTCTCTCCGGGTTCTCTGGTTTATTTCCCCCCTTGGCCTGACAGTTTTTCATTAAAGGTCCCATAATGTGCCCCTTTTAAGCAAATTAATGAAAACCTCACATGTTCCCAGAATGTATGTTTCAGTTCAAAACACAGCAAAGATGATTCATTTGTCCTAAATGGGCTGTTACAGCATCTGTAGATGAAACTGCTGCTCTCCACACGCCACTCAGGAAGAAGACTCTCTCAGTGTTTGAGAGCAAAACAATCTTTCTGTCACTTCTTTCTCTCCCGAGTGATCATTTTACATGTTCTTCAAAATGTATGGTGAGTTTATCAAACAAAACTTTAAGTTCAACAACTACTGTTTGCTGAACTAGACAAAGTGCTTCCTGGCTTGTAAAGCTGGGAGGCTATCTAGTAGAGGAGGTGCTACAGGAAGGACAGTTTCAGCAACTTTATATTCCTTCTCGTAGTTTTCAAGACACATAAAGCAAAATAAAAATGGATTTTCACCGTATGGAACCTTTAGAAGTGTCATTTAGGCAACAAGCGTTAGTTAACCCAGAGCAACGTTTCAGTGCAAGAGCTCAAAGTCAAATGTAGCTGGACAGTAGCACCGAGTGGGGATCGGTAGCTTCAGTCAAACGTAGATACGTCACCTTGTCAGGCAGGCCGGCAGGCTGACAGACGATCCTGAGTGGCAGCGACTGTTTGTCACTCAAAGCCTTCAGGTGGCTGCTGATTCCCGTCCCCTCGATTTGCCACTGTCGCAGGTGGTAGGCAAACCTGCCACAAGCACAAAACAGCGTGTTGTTGATGACTAGTTTCTGTATGGACTCAGTTTAACAGCAGAGTGCATCTGTCTGAACATCTCAGGTGTGTATACCTGCGTCTGAAGGCCTCCAGGTGTGTTTTGAGCATGAGTAGCCCCCGTTCAATGCTGGTCAGGCTGGAGTGAGCGTCCTTCTCCAGGTTGGCTGAGGCCATCAGAAGGCTCTCCATGCACTTCCTGATAAACTCCTGCTCCTTCTCCAGGCCCGTCTTACCGGCTGGAAACACATAAAAGGTGGAAAAGTTTAAAAAGAAAAAAGCCTGTCAGATTAAAAAAGATTTTTTTTTGCTGTTGTTGAGATATTTGAAAGAATTGCTGTTTGGATGACTGCAAATAAAGATAATCTACTGATTTTAACTTGGCTTTTACAAGAAAATACAAAAGCATGTCAGGAAGTGCTGTGCATGTAAGTTTACTGACCATTGATGTAGTAGGAGTTGATGTACTGGATTGCAGCACGGCTGATATCAGCAGACTGAGCTCTGAGAGCGATCCCCCACAGCTGGTCCATCCCACACAGCTGGACACACACACACAGGAACAGATTAACCTTCTACTCAAACCTGACCAAGCACAAGATGCTACTTGTCCGCTCCACATGTGTTTGTTTTTGGAATACCGAGTTGAACAGTTTGCGTACCTCGCAGCTGGAGGCGTTGTCCAGCGCACTGGTGGCGAGACGGGCCAGGTTACAGAGGTGCTGAAAGAGGTTCAGGCCCGTCATGCTGATGGTCTCTGGTTTCAGCTGCGGCATCTGGACACGCACAAACAAAACCAAATGAACACGCAGCTTCACTGGAGCTGCTCAGAGGATCATTAATGAAATAACTTTCTGAAAGACTTTAAGCTAAATTCTGCCAGTCCCCGAGTCCCTGACATAAAGCCACGACACAAGACAGTGGCTTTATCTTTCCTCATTATCTGGTATGACGGTGGAATTATCCAGCTGACATCCACATGAATCATTCTAACATCCAACTAATGTGCAATCATTGCTCTTTGCTTGTTTATTTGTTTAAAAAATAAACACTAAAGGCAAAAGAAATAAGGGAAAGAAGAAAAATCTATAAAGAATTAATAAAAAAAAACAAACGCATGTGATAGAAAATAAAGAAACGCAAAAAAGGAAGCACGGTCCACATGACACAGTGGTTCAGAAACTATCTCTGACCAATGAACCACCCACCACTATGTAAAAAAGAAAAAAAAATAGGTCATAGATCTGCGAAATCATGCCTCAATTTATATCTTTAATGTTTTACTCATTTTTAATTCAGTTTTCAACAAGGTCCAGGAACGGAGAAAAATCTGCGACTGAAACTAGCTCAGCTCTCCAGAAAAAACCTCCCCGTCCTGTACGCTGCAACCTACCTTCTCCAGGAAGAGGTGTTTGTAGGTCTCCATGCCCATCGCGTGCTGGTCCTTGCTGCGGACCTGATTGAGGAACCAGTGCAGTGCGTCGTCGTAGCATTCAGCGTCCTCCACCAGACAGTGCCACAGGATGTCCACCTGCTCCAGACTCAGTCCTGACAGACAGAAGGGAGGAGGTGCTCAGTGTGAACGGACTCAGCTACTACCCCCCGTACTTCACAAACCAATGAAAATCTTTCTCTGTCCAGCTTTAACAACAGCACGGTCGGGGGACACTTCCACCCCAGGGCAGCGCTCTGACGGGGTGGAAGTGGTCGCAACGCACAGGCAGCACTTGGCTGCTGATGCTAGTTTAGTTAGCGCTCACACTTCTGTTTCCACCATCGGTGGCGGCGGGGGAGTGGCAGATACGCTCCACCGTTACCATCCATGTTTACTTCCATAAACACTGAGCACGCTCACTAAGGCTGTTTTTAATGGGTTCCGTTTGTTTTTCCTAAAAACCTGTCGGACAGCAGGTTTAGGATTGTTAAGGGTCGGATTATCGAGTCACGACTGTAATAACAATAACACAAATTAGACATGAACAACTGCAGAAAGACCTGATGTGTGTCTGTTGGTTTTCTGTAGGAGTCAACGGGTACAAGCAGGCTGCAGTTTGTACTCCTCCTGCTATTCACTATAGTTTATATCAAATTTCTAGACTTTCCTGGTCTGGAATGAAGCTTTCCAAATTCCACAAGTGAGCGTCGACAGGAACTGAACTCGTGTCTGTTCACAATCTAACCTGTTGTGTCTTATACAGAAACTAAAATACGTTGCACCCAGCGTGCCGGATCAGCTGCGTTTAAATGACATTTGTTTACTGCGGGTGGTCCAACTGGGCTAAATGTGGTAAAATACTACGAGACACATTGTCGTTTCATTCAGTGTTACATCACACAGAGACATGCAGACAGCCGGAGCTTTGTACTCCGCAGAGCAGCTCAGGTTGCATAATGAGGTCTATTTTAGCATCGCTCCCCAAAAGCTCGCAAGAAAACCAGACGCACGCTGAGTTCATTTCCAAACTACTGTTAAATATGCTTCTCTCTGGGAAATTCACCATTGTTGCTAATGCCAAGAAAAACTGCTGGGGAACTGTTTTGGCCCGTTTAGGCCAATTTATACAAACCACATAGTTTTCTAACCGTTTCTAAAAGCACACAACTGGTTTCAATCCTCAGCGTGACTTCCCAGCGTCCTCAGAGAAGAAATGCAGTGTTTGGATGACTGAAAACTATCAGCGTTGATAGATATCACAAGAGATGAGTGATTCAAGGCTCCCAACAGTTACGAAACAGTCTTGTTCAGTTTACAACTTAAAGAGACGTTTAGAAATAACAGCATGTGGTTGTGCCCGAGGCTGGGCTGACACAAACCAATCCAGGAATCGTTCTGTTCACTGAGCAGCAGAAATGAATCTTACTGAAGTGATCTGGAGATCCCAGCGTGGAAAAGACGCAGGTGAGGAACTGCAGACGGACTTGGACTTCTGCACTGTGGCTGTATCTGCAACACACACAAGAGGCACGCAGCAGAGTTAGCGGTGACAAGTTCTTAAAAAGGAAAGCATGTGATGTAGCAGAAATGCTTGTGTGTGATATTTCTCTTAATTTCAATTTTTGTAACCCAATTTTTTGATTGAATTTTATACATTTAAATAAATACGTAGCTCGCAAAGACGAAACTATGGAGTCGTGAGAGCGCCAAATTTT